TCCAAGAATGCAAATAAGTGTGTTTCCCCAAAATGTTGAACTGTTGCTTTAATTTAAATGTGAAACATGGAGGTATGAAATCGCCAGAGGCACCAGAACATCCCGTAAGTATGTCTGATTTCAGGGTATTGGATTTGCTCAATTTAAAACATGTGCTAGCAGTATTCCCTGAATACTGGAGGACAATAATTCTCCCATCTAGAAATTACTTCACTTCACTTCAAGAAACAGGACAAACCTTCATATACAGCCTGGAACTGAGCAGCTTTAAGTCCCAAACCACCAAACCATTGTTACGTAATTCATGATTTATTTATTTTTTGTGTATTTTTGTATTCATTAATTACATCATGAAAATAAAACAATATAATAATTAAGCTACACATCTCGATGAACATAGCTGCAGTACTGGTAAACACACTGATAAGCCCATGTAGTTTTTATACATCATGTGTAAATCCCAAACCTTCTACCATCTCAACCCCTTCTTAAATTCCTTTCATTATCCCTGTTCTTCCCCTCTGTCTCCATTTCTCTGGTGTATGAGGGTAATTGGCACTCTGTTTCTTTAATTAAAATGAGGTCTAATTGTAGCCGAAGCAGGGCAAATGTTCATAGGCCTATAATTTCCCTATCACACTCCAGAGCCTCAGAGAAAGTGGAAAATAGGGAGGGAAAGAGCACACAGCGAAGAATGACCACAAAAGTGCAGAATTGTAAATGCGATTAAAAGCAAAATGGGTCCTGCTCTCGATTTTGAGGTCAGTTGTCTAAAGCCTGAAGACAGCTGTATAGAAAATGAGGGTGTAATATTTGCCGTATGGCCCCCCCTTTGTGAAAAATACAGGGTCGAGTTTTACATTTCAAAAGAAAACCGTGTACAACACCCTCTATTGTTGTCTGCCTTTCATGCAGCAAACTTAATACCTTTCCTTTGCCTGTGTTTTTCTGACATGGTTTGATGATTAAAATAAAAACTATACCATCACTAATACTGATATCTCAACCCAGTTACTTCAGACCTGCCTCTCAGTGTCTTTACTTGGGAAAAAATTTGCTAACAATGTCTATTTGTTATATTTAACACACAGCATTTTCCCTCATTTTAATTCCAAGGCTCAGTCCCGGTGTTCTTGCCAGTGCCAGTGTCAGTTTAGACTTCTCCAGTGTCTCCTAATGTGGACGATTGTACTGTAATTACTGTACAATTGTTTGTTTTGGGTGTTAAATACAGCCAGATGACGAATTTTCATTGTTCCTACATTTTCTAGCACTGGGGGCAATTTTCCGGCGGTGGGTGGCCGCCACTGTTGTAAGAATGGAAGGGAAACGCCAACTTCCTCTAACAGGGCTTAAGTCTGAGTCTACTTCAGTGAAAGGCAAGGCCGTGCATGCACATAATAGAAACACTCACGCATCCTGTCTCATAAACCTTAATGATAGAGCACGATAAACAGTGATTATCATGCCTCTGTGTGTGGGGGGGTGTTTCTTTTTCACTCCTTCAACAAAATCTCCATATGAAACAGAGGCAGGTGTGCATATGAAAGGTGGAGACGGAGCAGTCTCCAAACAGAAGCCTGAGTATTATGAAGGTGTTTTTTTTTAAATTATGCTGGAGTGAACTCAAGCTAGACTAAATGCGGGGAAAGCACCTTCCTGAACTTTGTCATCCAATTATCCTCCTCATTCACCTCTCTCCTCTTTTTTTTCCTCTGCTCTCTGCAGACTTTTCTTTCTTCCTCTTTATCGCCTCAGATTGTTGTTATAAAGCTGGTGGGCTTCTTAAGAAGTGGAAGAGGGCGAGAAGCATGTGTTTCTTTACGGGGAATTTGCATAGAGAGAGTAAAAATAAGTAAATTGTAAAAAAGAAGCAAGGTAATACAGGGGGAGAAGCCATTGATTAAAAGTCACATTTACCTCTCAGTGTGAGAGAATGACGAACCTGCTGCATATGCAGCCCGGAGAATTAGAGATGTCAAGTCATTGCTTTCATATGCTGTGCATGAGACGGGTCACCCAGACGATGGAAATGAGAAAATGACACTGAGGGGGAATGTAATAAGAAAGATTTAAGTCATTTGGCAGTACGGCTGTGAGAAGGGGATAGATTTTGTATTTGTGTGTGTGTGTGTGTGGGGGGGGGGCATTAAATTAGCAGGAGTGTGATTGAGTGATCATTGAAATCATTATGGAAAAACGAGGAGATAAAGAGTCAGATATTTGTAGATGACACCAGCTGTTTTCCACTTAAACCACTCGTTCTTTTACTGTTCATTATTTTGTATTAAAATGTTTTGCAGTTAAACATGGTTTTATTTTAAGGAGGAATAGCAGCGGGGCAGAGGAGGATATATTAATTTAATACAGCTATCAAAGCAATCTCTGGTATTACTGTATTATCCTGTTAATTCATCCTGTCAATACTTCCTAGTAGAATGTGGGATGCAGGATAATTCATTAAGAAGTGGGGGGAAATTAAAAAGTTATCACCTCCATCAAGCAAAGTGGAACAACAAGCTGATTTACCATAAACAGTTTGGTTTGATTCTTTAAATATCTCTTTTATATTCTGTTTTGAGTGTCGAGTGCAGCTATGGAAGGACTAAAGACAGCATACAGTCCGTGCTGAATAGACCACACTATCTGATCTTTGACCAACAGTTCAGCGTTCATCCGTGTTAAACAATGGCGTCTGTCTCTGGACAGCTACAGCTGTAACATTTCAGTAGTGAGCAAAGTTTTTTTTGGTGCCTTCATGTGTATTTCATTGGGATGTGGGCTGGTAAGTGGTAAATGTGATTGCGTCTCACTTTGCAGAGGATCACAGAGATTAGTAAGGCTGTAGGCGTTGCAGTTATTTTTGTAAAATACTACAAGTGTTGGTGCTGAACAGTGTTGTGCAAAAAATATTCATAGAGCACAAGAGGACCCTGACAGGCTTCATATCTAAATAATGTTCTGTGTAAAAGCTTTTTTCCAAACATCCTTTCTTCCTGTATATACAGGAAATGGACTATAATCACCAGCAGTTACATTGAAAGTAACTTGGACACTGATATTAGGATTACACTGGATGAAGTAGTCTTTAAACTGGGAAATGTGGTGATGACATATATTAGATGTAGGTGCTTTTATTTACTTTAGGGCTGCAACTAATTATTGATTTATAGCAATCACTACTTTCCCAGTGTCCAAGGTGATGTCTCAGGTTGCTTGTTATCACCTGTTAGATATTCAATTTACAACAATATAAAACCGGAAATCAGAAAAATTCTCACATTTGATTAGTGGGAAAGACTTAAATGTTTTTTGATTATGAAAATTGTTGCAAATTTTTTGTTGTGCTTGTCAGCTAATTAGTTAATAGACTAATCATTCTCAACTACTTAACCTTGAGACTTATTTAATTAAATTTCCAGATAACTTGAAACAGTTTTAGCTATGAAAAAGTGAACCAATGTTTTTGAAACTAGTATTAAACCAATAGAAGAATTAAAGAACTGTCTAGGATACTTCTATTTGGATACATATGGAATCACTGAATATGTGAATGAAATTAGACACTTGACATTGATAGCCATCGATTCAGAGCAGATGTTTTGGACAACAAAGCAACATGTTAAAGCAAGTAGGAGGTGGAAACAACACATTTTAAACAGTTGAGAAAAACAACACGTTGGCCTCATCCAGGATTCAGAGTGATTCAGATCAGTTTATTGTGAACGTAAGAATGTAATAGGAATTCTCTTTTAAAATGTATATTTGATTTGAAAATATAGTTTCAATGCATTTCATGCATAATTTTATTATTTATATGAAGCTTTTTTTTTTAGCTTAAATCAAAAAATCACTAATACTTAAATAAACATCTAGAAACCAAAAAAGGTGTTTGTTTTGAAAAAGGTGTTTTAATGCAGATGTAGTATTTCATTTGTTTGTGTGTGTGTGTGTGTGTGTGTGTGTGTGTGTGTGTGTGTGTGTGTGTGTGTGTGTGTGTGTGTGTGTGTGTGTGTGTGTGTGTAGCGCTGTTATAGGATGCCAGACTTTACTGTCGAGCTTTATATTGGGAGCCTAATTCAACAAAACATCTTAATAACCCCAATGATAAACTCACACTGAAACTCCCATTTCCTCCAGCATCCATTTTCATGCAGGTGCTCTCCTTGATCATGGCACTCAGGAGAGCCGCATTAAATCCTGTTTATTGGTGAAACCAAACTGCCTCACCCTTGAGATGAGCTTCTGCAGGGGAACATGTAGGGCTCTAAAAGCCGGTCTGTGACAGAAACCTCATCCCATCAGTATAAACACTAGTCACAATTCAGCAGAGACGATCTGAGAAAACAGCTGGGTGGAGAAGAAAAAAAAAAAAGATGTCTTCAGATGAAAAGAAGTCCCTTCACCCTAACCTAACTCTGCATCAAGTTACATGTCGTCCAGGTCTCAGATTTTATTGGGATACTGAATCATAGCAGTGCAGCTCAGATTGTTTGTGCGCTGGCAGCCTGCCCCTCAAAAGATTACAAAAAATCAATTCTATTGTAATCACAGATCGTGACTAGGAGGGCTTAAATCTTTATATCTGTGTGTCTGTGCATGTGTACCTATGTAAGTCTGTTCAATTCTCTTGTTCCAACTACTTTGTCCCTACAATGACGGAGTCTTTTCAACAGGTTCAGTGTGACTACAGGCGCGGTGTGTCGCTGGGAACACGGGGGACATGGGGGGATAAAAACAAACATGAGAGGAAAGACAATTTTAGGGTAGTGGGAATGTGTCTGTAGATGTAATTGACTGGTGAAACTCCATCTTTCACCCTAATCCCAGTATAAGCCATAGCTGATACTTGGCAGACAGCTTGGGCTTCGAAATATGTTCACTCTGTGATTTTAAATTCATTTATGTGTTTCTCTGAATGTAAATGAGTCTCATACGTGTCATTTTTATATTTCCTGCTGTGAGTGATGTTCTATTTTTTTTTTATATTTTTCTCTCAGAGGTCCTGATGAACACTAAGACGGAGACTTCTGATCTCAAATGGACAATCTTCTCAAATAGCAAACCCGAGGTACGTAACCCCTGTTTCACCATGTTATCTGTATTACTAACACGGCCCTGGCGGTGACTGGGGATTTTTGGTTTCCAGCTGTTCCTTTGTTACTTTGGCTATAAAGGAGTTCCTTATATGGCAGGTAACTGACAGAGTAAAGGGAACGCCGGAGTGAATGTGGATTTCAAAGTATATTGGAAGCAGATGCTTTGATTTATCCCATCAACCTTGGAGTTGAAGTCACTGGCTGCCCACAATTTTGAATACTGCAGCCAAAAAAAGACATATTTGTAATTTGATCAACTGAGGAGTGGTTGCTAGGGTATTTTTGCCAACAGCGCCAGTGACCAAAACTGCTCAACTTGCTGATGTCTCAGATGGAAGACGGTTACCGTGATGCTGGCAAGGAGATTTCTGGAGCTGGACAGAAATACTCAACAAATGTGCGTGTGCTTTTGATTAAGATGCAAAAGGAAACAGGCCGACAGTCTCTAAATAGTTTGCGCAGCCATTATCATCTGAAGCAGTTTATCTAAAGCTCCACATTGTCAAAAGTATGGATGACTTGTGTTTTATAACACAAACTTAACACTAAAGAGTATAAATAATAATGGCAGGCAGCAGTGGGGAGGTGCCATGAGCTGTCTGCATCAAAATAACATATAAAAAGATTTATATATGGATTATTTATTTTTAGCATTAAAGGATTATGATTCACTCGTAGTAGATATTTTTGGCAACTTCTAACTCTGTCGGACATAAATTCTGGCTTCTCAGTTTCAAAAATACTCACACATCATTGTGGTACAGTTAATTGTACTCATTAAATATTAGTTGTTGCATTTTGAAACACACAGAATAAACATTCATGTTTAACCTCCAGTGTAATACGTTCACAGTGTATGTTAAGGTAAAATGTCTCAACATTTATGGTGTGAAGAAGTACATCTGTATATTTGCAGATTTCTCTGGTTTGCTTTCGTAACAAATTTTGAACAATTTATTTAAATGATTTATGTCAAATGTAGATGAGCCCTGTGGGATATTTTGTGCATCTTCATCACAGAAAAACATTTTGTCCACGTAAATATGCCAAAGTCCATAGTATTTATTTTTTGGGATTAAAAGGGAAATTCTTCCCTCAAGAGATTCAAACCTGGCTCTCAGTGCTCTGCTGCACTGTAATTCATTCACACCAGTATTCTGCCTCACTCAACACATCATCTGCAAATGGATTTTTAAAGATTTACATATTTACATAACTGAGTTTCTGAGCCTCAAGTTCAGCAAATCTGCTAAATTCTGCCCCGACTATGTTAATTTCTTGCTTGTTTCCCGCTCTTGGGAACATAGTGATGGTGAACATGTTTGCTGTTGACTCAGAAGTCAGACATTAAAGCATTTTTTTGTTGCATTTGGCTTCCCAACAAATGTAGATTTCTGTGGAGGGGTTTCACTTCATACATATTTGTGATATCCCCTCTGTATTCTTGTATTTTAGTCTAAAGGCGTGTTTGAAGGGTGAGAGCTGTGTCTGTCTCCGATGCTGTGTGCAGCAGTGTGCTCTGTTTGACAAGTGAGACTTGTATTCCCACTAGCTGGGCTGCAGCTCAGCAGGAGGAATGATTTAACAACGCAGATTTAAATTTGGGCTGGATCAAAATCCACTGCAGGCCAGATCTGTCCCACGAGCCTTTGACAGGTGCAGTACAGCAGAGGACCAGCAAAGAATCGCAACATTAATATGATTAATATGACTTTTATTGTGAATGTGAACGTCTTTACCAGAGAGTTAAATATACTAAAGGCTCACAAAAATGTTCACAAGTTTTCTGGGTCAGATGTCATTTATACTTGCAACCTGACAACCCTTTGTTCTCCTCTTTGCCCTCAGTGGGAGGAAGTAAGCGGTTTAGATGAGGAGAATAACAGTGTGAGGACCTATCAGATCTGTCAGACTGACAGCTCATCCAGCCACTGGCTGCGCAGTGGCTTCATCCAGCGACTGGGAGCGTCTCAGGTTTACGTGGAGCTGCGATTCACCATGATGGAGTGTTCATCCAGGAGCACCCACCATCGCAGCTGTAAAGAGACCTTCAACCTCTACTACTACCAGGCAGACTCCAATGAGGCCACGTCGACTTACCCCCCCTGGATGGAGAACCCCTACACCAAGGTACATCCACACCCACCCTCTGTATGGTATATGTTAATTAGTCACAAATGCTCGTTTACACATTGAACATCTGCATTAAAGGAGTGCTCTACCTATTTTACATGAGAAGATAAGTTTACTTGTCATGATTAGTACCACTCTGACACACTGTGAGACCCACTGTATTTCACTCTTTTTCACTTCTGAGAACATAATTAATTACAGGGCTGCAACTAACAATTATTTTCATTATCAATTAGGCTGACGATTATTTTCTGAATTATTCGATTAAGAATGTAGTCAATGAAACATGAACAAATGGCATTCACAATTTCTTCGACCCAGCAGTCCAGAACCTAAAGATATTATAAACTGACTGTTAGATATGACAAAGACAAACAGCAAATCCTCACATTTGAGAAGCTGAAACCATGAAATATTTGGCATTTTGCTTGAAAAAAAGATGAATTGAAATGCAACCAAATTAATGGAAATAGTTGCAGATTAATCTTCTAAATGAAAAATCCTTGCAGCTCCAATTAATGACCTCAATCCAAGACATCACTGATGTCATTCAGGTTATCTTGGATTGAACTTGAAACCTGAAGTTTGAACAGAGAGCCTGTGTTAAAATCTGGTGGTGTGGAGTTTATAAGATATAAGAGTTTACCAGGCAAGGAAGGCCCAATGGAAAAAAAGTTATAAACTGCATCATGGGAAGTGAAGAATCCAGTATTTTGTTTTTTTGTGTTACTAGGGATTTAATGTATTAGTAAAGTTATTTTGGCCTCTGATGCATCAAATTTTACTATTCTTTTCAAAATGTCCGACTCCTGTCAGTCCCCAAACTTTATAGAAGTGTAATATTATATAAAGTAGCCTTTTAATGCATTCAAGAAAAAAAATAAAATCTGTCTCGTTGACGGTCTTAGTGAATCTCAAGTTTTTAGACTGACTTACTACATGCAGCCGGCTTCCATTTTCATTCCTTTCTTTACAGTAATGAAATCAGCTTGCAGAGACAGACTGCATCGACATTGGATCACTTTTGTTATAAGTCCAAGTTACTGTCTGATGGGACAAAGAACTGTTTTGAAAACTCTCCTCATCGGTTCAGTCCGTTTCACATCCTGCTTGTTTGCTTATTGTTCATCTTCTGGGTTTCATTTTCCAAACACATAGCTTATGAATGCAGTGCTATTCTGCATCTCATTGTCAAACCTCAGATGTTGCAGCGTCCTTGAACACACCGCCGAAAGAGAGGTTTCAAAAACATTGCCTGCTCCTCGACTTCATTACCACTTAATAATGTAACATTGACAGAAAAATAAAAGTGATGAAATGTTCACTGTGATGAATTACCTTTTTCCCAAGCACGTTTTAAGTCCCTGTGAGTTGAGGTTCAAAGCGTACTGTAACAAATGGGAAACAATGGCTGCGAGGAAGGTAGTAAATCAATCTAAAATCACAGTGGTATGCTTAGGAAAATGTTCAATAATGTAAAGCATATGTGATGTCTACTTAATGGGCTAAAATGCCTAAAACATGCAAAACATGGTCCTTTTTTAGGAATGAGTCATGTGTGTTGGAATCTTGCCATTACATAAGATCTTTTCTCTTTCTTCCTGTCCTAGGTGGACACAGTGGCTGCAGACTTTCTACTGAGGAAGGGAGGGGAGCGGAAATTTAATGTGAAGACCTTAAGGCTCGGCCCTCTGTCAAAGAGAGGCTTCTACTTGGCTTTTCAGGCTCAGGGCGCCTGCATGGCCCTGCTGTCCGTCAGGGTGTTCTTTAAGAAGTGTCCTCCCCTGGTCAGTGCTCTTTCCTCTTTCCCAGAGACCGTTCCCCGTACTCTTGTGCAAGAAGCACAGGGTGTGTGTGTGGAGCACGCCGCTCAGCAGGGGCCCCGACCTCGGCCGCCTAAGCTCTTCTGTGGGGAAGATGGCCAGTGGGTGGGCCAGCCAACAACCTCCTGCGCCTGCCTACCAGGGTTTGAGCCCGCTGAAGGACACACAAGATGCACAGGTAAGAAGGTTAGGCCATATATACAAGTATGTATATAGACTACACCCACATAGGCAGCAGTGCAGGCAGACTAAATAAGAAAACAATGGTAAGACGAGGGTGGGGTTCACTGAGGGTCGAAGTGTTGGAGAGGAAGTGAGAGACCAAGGAAGTTAATGAGGCAGGGGCAACGGCTGTGACACAGAGGGGACGGAGAGAGGTCAGATGGAGCAGCACTTATCTCAAAGAGGAAGAGCGGGGTCAAAAGCTTACTGCTGCGACAGCTCATGGTTCAGCAAAGATAGAAGGAGCGCAGGAGGACTAGAGAGGTGAAGAGAGCGAGAGTAGGGGGGGTGGGCGCTCGAGGTAAAGATCATATCACTTTGAGAACATCAAAGCAAAGCAGGCACAAAAAAAAACGAAGGAAGAAGCAGGATGATTCTCTCAGGAGCTGTGCAGCAGCTCTGTCTAATGAGTCCAATTATCAAGCCTCGTGCATGAACACCCCCCACACACGCACACACAGACACACACAACAAACAGCACAGATAAATGTTGAGTGCTAAAAACAAAGAAACACATGAAGAAATGTTAAATTTTCTCAAGAAGACCTGCGGTTGCATCCGTATGTGTTTGAAAATAGGATTCAGTGTGATCTCCATGGGAGGTATAATGATTTTCCTTAACATAAAAATCATTTCAGACATTTTGCCTTTGGTGAGGTGAGGTTGACATTTTCCAGCGTTCTGTCACCGAAGAGAGCTGTGAGAAAAAAACACTCAACAGACCATAAAGGGAAATTGCCTTTATAGCAAAATTGAACTGTTAATTTGCTTCGTAGGCCAGTCATTTCAGAAAATGAAATTGATGTCTGGTTGAATTAATTTAGCTGTAATGTCATTATCTCCAATAGACAATACATATATTTTCTGGGTCAGACAAAACCCTTTAACGTAAAACGTATAAATCCCGTCAAGTTGATTTAGCGTTATAGATGAGCATGATTAGAATATTTAAACCATGTCTTTGAAATAAAGCTCTAACAGGCTATAAATACTGCTACATGGGAGGGGTATCTTTCCCTATGTGCCAGAATCCTCTGTCCTGTATCCTCTGTAATGTATGTATTTAAACTAACTTTAACAGGTGAGATATTCAGCAGCTCTCAGCAACACAGTTTTCACACGTGGGAAATTCCTGCTGGCAAAATGTCAATCGGAAAGGATCAGCCAGAGTGTGTTGACCCTGCAGAACGAGTCAGTTTTGACTGTAACAATGCTCCGCTTGGTGTGAAAGTTTATTGTTTTATTCCTCTCAGTCAGCAGCTGCATTTCAACAGCCACACTGAATGCATACTGCACAATAAACACTGCAGGTTTTGGTGACTGTGTGGCGTTACACGGCTCATCACTCATTCAACTGTTGGTGTGTTGAATCTAGTGTGTATGGAGGACAATGAGTTCAGATTAGGGCTGCAGCTAATGACTATTATTCCTATCAAGTAATAAATGTATGGTCTGTTTTAGTGTATGGTGTAAAACAAAATCAGTAAATCTACACATCTGAGAAGCTTTTTTGACATTTTTGCTTTAATCGATTGTTGCCCATTGATTTTCTGTCAGTCAACCAATTCTTTAAACACTAGTTCAGACTCAGTTCAGCGTTTCCTCATGTGCCACGGTGCTGTTTCTGATTTCAGTGTGGAGACAATGTTCGGATCAATAAACAGAGCCTGGACTCCCACATGTTTGCTCTTGTTATTTAGATATGGTCAGGTAAATTCAGTGATGAGCAGCTTGTCAATGACAGACAGGTTTACTCACTAAATTGACGGTTACTATCAGATTCATTACTGTGATTGTCTTCAGTTTATAGCCCTCATTACATGGTTCTGTCTGTCAGTCTACAACCATCTGGCACCTAAGTACCCTGAAAAAAAAAAAACTACTGAAATGTATTTGCAAATTCAGTTTGACCCAGGTCTGTCAGGGACACAGTGCGTGTGAAGATTTTGTGAAATGTTCTTTAGTATTCACAGGTCATGTCCAGAATCAGAATAATTCCCCTTCATTTGTTTTCCCCTCCTTTCCTCCTCAGCCTGTCCTGTGGGTCAGTTCAAGTCGGGCACAGAGGGACAGTGCACAGGCTGTCCTGGATTCAGCCATGCCACCATCAGGGGGGCTTCAGTGTGTGCGTGTCGTTCTGGATATTTACGTGCAGAATCTGATGCTCCCGACACCATTTGCACTAGTAAGTATGCAGGAAATGGTACTTATGCACGAACACGCATGCAAATATGGAGGTGCTAAGCAACTCAAGCATCCATTTGCTTTTTTTCACTCTTTACCTTCTCCTGGACTTCTCCACTTTTTGTTTTTACCGTCTTTGGTGCTATTTCTCTTTCCCTTTGGTGTCATTTAGCCAAACTCTTCTAATCTGCTCTGTGTCCATTGTCCCATGGCTGGGCATTGAGATGCATGTCTTTTGTGACAGGTTGTTGGGGGGTAGGGCTTTTCACTCCTAAGTAGAGTAGGCATTGATGGTCTCAAGTGACACCTCCAATGCGGATTCAGGAATTTCAATTCAGCCACATGTTGGTTGCGTGAACGGGAGGGACTTTTTAATTAGGTGCAGTCTTTTGGAATGGCCTTAAAGAGGATGTGAAACAACGTCAAACGGCTTCGAACTGTTGACAGTTCCTGTTCTCCGCAGGTGTGATATCAATGCCAACTAGAATTTACATCCACCAACTTTATTATTACTGATAACTCTAATTACAAAAGCATTATCTTAATTATAAATCACTTAATTAGGCCATTCCTATTATATATTCTGTTATTGTACTGGATTGCCTGTGCAATTCAGCACATCACTTATATTTTCAATTTGTTTGCTAAATTGCAAACCAACCGTGCCATCTGTAAACCATGCAGACCTTATCCCCCCAGAAAATCAGTGTTTTACATTACTGTGACAGCCTTGGTGATTTTAATGAAGTGGATTCTGATCGTAAAGTCATAAAATGTATTGCCTCTAAAAATCCCTTTTCCCAAACGTTGAATTCAGAATTCATTCGCACCCAGATTGTCTATGATGTTGCCCCACTTGGGTTTCCAATGAGAACACTATTAGCACTTAAGTTAGCTGCAGGCTCAGTGACAAAGCTCTGTCTCCTTGGCAGGAACAGAAACTCATTCACAGTGGCTGAGTGGTATTGCTATTTAGTTATGCTTGGCTTGAGGCAATAGCTATCTTCTTACAATTTTCAGACGGTGATCATTATCATCCAGTTTTAGACAAATGTAATTGCACTACTTAAATCCTGTAACACATATGCTGGTGCTGTGACGTAAATCCACTGCAGGAGCAGCGTTGCACTTCGTGACTACATGTGCAGAATGCAAACTGAAAATATGCCCACATATATGGAAAGAATGGTTGTTGTGGGTCATGGAAAGGTAAAGTGTCAGTAACATGACCGAGCAGAAATTATCATTTGAGTTGATAGAGAAATGTTATACGCTGTGATTGATTAAAATATGATGACGTTTTTGACCAAATAATGTGACAGTATTTTCTGGATGACTACTACTGCTGCTGGTGCTTTCTAAAGGTATTTAGTCAGTGAAAGAAATGGAAAAATCTTCATATGTAGTGTTGCTATAATGACTCTGCTGAATCAGTCTAACACATTTAGAAAATTGCACCAGGGCCTGACAGTAATGCTGCTGTTCAACATTTAAGGGAATAGTGTCACATTTAGGTGTATTTGCTTTATTTAGAGTTTGATAAGACCAACACCACTGTCATGTCTGTATTGTAAATATTAGCTTAGCATAATGACTAGAAACGGGGAAACAGGTAGGGTGGCTCTGTATAAAGCTAGAACAATCCACCTGCCTTCAGCTTACTAATCAAAATGTTATCGTATGTTAAATCCGTACAAAAAATAAAGTGTAAAAATGACAATTTGTGGATTTATGCAGGGAGACTGTGTCTTCCTGTAGTCTTCTCTGGCTGCATGGCAAGTCACAGGGACGACAAAACTCTAGGAAGTCACTGTACCTAGCCAAGAAATAGACACAACCCAAACCCCTGTGTGAAAAGCCAGGCTGTTTCTAGTCTTAATGTAAAGTTGAGGTAACTGTAGGTATAGATCTCACTGTAGTTTTTTTTTTTTTGCCACTGTAGGACCTCCCTCGGCCCCACGCAGTATCGTCACCCAGATCAACGACACCACACTCAGTCTGGAGTGGAACGAGCCTCTGGACAACGGTGGTAGAACAGACCTGAGCTACGCTGTCAAGTGCTCTGTGTGCAGGTCACCCAAGGGGCTGTGCCTGTCCTGCGGAGACAGCGTCAGCTACCGGCCTGCGCAGCAAGGCCTGCTGGGTCGAAGGTTGGAGGTGTGGGGCCTGCTGCCTCACACCACATACACCTTCACGATCCAGGCCCTCAATGGTGTGTCTCAGCTCAGTGGCAAGGACCCTGCCAGTGAAAGTGTCAACATCACCTCAAGCCACGATGGTAAGAGGCAGACAGGAGTAGGTAGAAAGGTAGAAATAGTGAGAATTTCTTGGGTTATTTATAATTCTTCTGCCATCTGTGCAGTGCCATCGCTGGTGTCTGTGATCCGGAAGAGTGACTCCACGGAGAGCAGTCTGACTCTGCACTGGTCAGTCTCAGCTCAGCCACACTACACCATCCTGCAGTACCAGCTTCGCTACTGTGAGAAGGTGAGAACTCCCTGACAACATCTCTCACCAACTGTGTGCCTTGAAGGTCACATACTTTTCACCTTTCATGGTTTTATTTACAGGTTCAGTACTATGGCTCAGAATTTAGAAAACATGAGTCACAATAGAAGAAATATAAACAGGGTTATTGGTTAATGCGGTTTTCCTCACACAGTCCAAAAACATGCAGGTCAAGTGAACTGAAACCCAGATTGCATGTAGACCGCCAAGCCAAACAGTTTCACATATTTCACAATGTAAATGATTTATTTCAGCTTAAAGATCCCCTCCAGACATGTATTAAGACATATACAAATACAGGGAGAGGAATATGTGTTTTTTTTACTTTACTGCAAAGTCCAATCTCAGTGGATGTTCACTGGTGGATTGAAGATTGCACTTCACACTTACATAATATATATCTAACGTATAAGTTGTAAATTAGACCAGGACTTACTTTCAAACTATTGGTGACGTCACAAATCATGTGTGTAGGCCCCGCCCCTTAAAATCTGATTTTCAATGAGCACAGAGAAACTCTGCGCATACATCATTCTGCACAGTGAACAACACACAAGAAATACCTGACTCAATGGGCACCATCATACAGCTGGGACACATGATGCTCTTGTGTGACTGAAAGAAATCTCAAAACATATGTAAATTATGATATTGTGTAATTATTCTTTAATGTACTGTTAGTATATATGCATAATAAATATGGGATATTTGGATCCATACAGATAACCCTTCAGTGGCTTTGTAGCAGTCTTTTAGAGTTTGACTTTTTTTCACAGTTACTTCTGTCGCCTCCTTACTTATTCCTGTTGTGTTTTCACACGGTAGGAGCGACGTAGTGAAGATCAGTGCCACTACACAGAGAGTAACAAAAACCAGGCCGTGCTGACAGACCTCCGGAGGGCAACGCAGTATGAAGTGCAGGTTCGGGCACGCACAATGGCTGGTTATGGCAGTTTCAGTCCTGCAGCCATCTTCCGCACCCTGCCTGATGGTGAGAAACGTTTCTCTTTGCTCTTGAAAAGTAAAGAGAGAAAAATAAGTAAAAAAAAGAAAAGTAAAGAGAGAGTGAGTTTCACACACTTTTATTTCATTACCATTGGTTAGGTTTTACAAATTCGTTCCTGCACAATCAGTGGCTGCACAGTTTCTCGTTATGAATTTATTGCCTGTGTCCTTGTATTGAGTTAGTGTCCTTGTATTGAGCGCCTTTTAATATTATAAATTCCTTTCATGTTCCTTCTTTCCTTCTCATACTTTTCTGTACTACCACTGTAAACCTCCTTGTCATGATTTCTGTCATTACATTACTATAACTCTCTCTCGGTCTCTTTTGTTTGTCTCCTCTCTCAGGACAAGACTCTGCCTCCCAGTTCTTGGTACCTGGCATCCTTATCGCTGTTGGGATGCTGTTGCTCGTCACTTTCGTCTTTGTGGCCGCCTACTGCATACGGTGAGAACGAGGGAAAAGGCAAACAGGCAGAGAAAAAGATAGATTTGGAAGGCAAAGAAGCTGACAAAATAACAGGAAAAAGGGGGGGAAATCGAAAACCAATAACAACCGTGACCCCAATTTTACAGTTTTGCACCACTTTGTTCTTTTGTTTATACAAATCATATCTTATCAACAGTGCGTTTGCACTCTGTTACCCACACCATTTTTTTTCTGTGTGAGGCAATTCAGACACAAAGCAATGCTCATGATGTCTTTTGCTTACACAGCTAAAAGTTATCCTGCTCATTAGAACATTTTCCTTAGGCTTCATTGTTTGAGTAAATAGTGTTGGATGCCATCAGAGGGAGAAAGGGTGTGTGTGTGTGTGTGTGTGTGTGTGTGTGTGTGTGTGTGTGTGTGTGTGTGTGTGTGTGTGTGTGTGTGTGTGTGTGTGTGTGTGTGTGTGTGTGTGTGTGTGTGTGTGTGTGTGTGTGTGTGTGTGTGTGTGTGTGTGAAGGAGAGAGAGAGATTGAGAGAGATGACGATAGAGGTAGAGGGCAGGGAGAGACAGGATGCAGGCGTCCCAACCCTGTTTCCACAGGACAGGAGAACAATAGCTGTGACCTTGTGACACACACACACACACACACACACAAACCAGTGGCTGAGGCCCAGATCTGCCACTAACCAAGGGTGGTGCATTATTGCTATTTTAAGCTTATGAGGTGGGAGAGGGAGAGAAATGGAGGAAGGCAGGGATCCAGTAGCTACAGGGTTGTTACAGTCTTGCAGGGATGAGTTTGCGCCAGCAGAATTATAATGGAGCCGCTTATGTCAAAGAGCAGAACCATAGAGGCTGACTCAGGTATTCAGCATTACCACAAGCCACCGTGTGTTGTGCGTCTGAAATCTCTGAGAAAAACAAAGCTTTTTTTTCAACAAGGCAGAGTTTATGTGTCATAAAACATAATAAAAAGACGGCTGTGTGTCCTTAAAGGCACTGTATCTCTGTTGGCTAGAGGGTATTGGTCTGTAGTCGAACTGACCTCTGACCCCTCAGTGCATGAGGCCAAGATAGCAGAATATTCTCCAAGGCAATCAATAAATTATCATAATTTTTCTGTGCTTGTTTGCATCCTTGTCATACAATGTGTGATTTTTGACTCATTTTTGCTTTTTTGCTTAGTTTGTATTTTAATCAGAGAGGTATCTTTGTAATTGCACTGTCTTTGCAAATGAATAATCACAGTTAGACAATTGATTTGCATCACATTTGGCTGATCAAGCATTATGATTACGTGCCAAAACAATAACAATCCTGATCTCTTTCTACCTGCAGCAGACACAGCCGAGTAAAGGATCCAGAACTGAGCGACAAAAACAACCAGTACCTCGTTGGCCAAGGTAACAGATCAAGGACACGCAGCACTAAACCTCAGCTTTGATTTACAATTCACATCTTTAAAAAAAAAAATCATTTTTAATGTGACTGGGGCTCATTGCTGCTGATAGTACGCTAACATTTCTTCTTTTTCCTTTCCCACGACTCCGTTTGTCTTTCTCTCGCAGGGGTCAAGGTTTATATCGACCCCTTCACCTACGAGGACCCTAATGAGGCAGTGCGAGAATTTGCCAAGGAAATTGATGTTTCCTTTGTCAAGATTGAAGAGGTTATCGGTGCCGGTAAGCCCCAGCCGTGTTTTTCCCATTATTCACAAATGAGTAAACTTTTCAACTCACAGACTGAATGTTATTTTTTTAATGTCCTCTTTCAAAATAACATTATTAAAAATATATCTAATTTATTTTTGTCAAAGTCAATTTGGTGACATTTAAAACCACTGTCTGCATTCTTCTCTATCAGACAAAATTCAATATTGCAACGTAAGTAAAGCAATTAACTGATAAATGTTAGAAATATTACCAAGAGAAGCACTAGCTGCAAGCAAGCTTTAGGTTTGTAGAGTACAGCCGTCAAACTCCTGTGTGGTAAACACCTACTTGAAAAAACAGTCCTAATGTGTGTATGTGTATGTGTGTGTGTGTATGTTTATGTGCCGCAGGAGAGTTCGGGGAGGTGTGTCGAGGACGGCTGAAGATCCCAGGAAAAAAAGAAAACTACGTAGCAATTAAGACCCTAAAGGGTGGCTTCACTGAGAAGCAGAGACGGGACTTCTTGTCTGAAGCGTCCATAATGGGTCAGTTCCAGCACCCCAACATCATCCATCTGGAGGGGATCATCACGGCCAGCTGTCCAGTCATGATCCTCACAGAGTTTATGGAAAACGGAGCTCTGGACTCTTTTCTGCGGGTCAGTGTGAACACACAAGAACACCCACAATGAAACACACATCTTCTTTTTACTCATTCTCCAACTGAACTGTCTCTCTTCTCCATAGCTGAACGACAGCCAGTTCACTCCCATCCAGCTGGTGGGTATGCTGCGCGGCATCGCCTCCGGCATGAAGTACCTGGCAGAGATGAGCTACGTCCACCGAGACCTGGCTGCCCGCAACATCCTGATCAACAGCAACCTGGTGTGCAAGGTGTCCGACTTTGGCTTGTCACGCTTCCTGCAGGAGAACTCCTCTGACCCGACCTACACCAGCTCTCTGGTGAGTTGACACTCCTCTTTAGATGATGCAGAAACACTACAGTATATCTGCCTGTCAGAGGGTATTTATACATTTCCTTGTCAAATTACATTCATTTTAATATTAATATTATTATATTAATTCACAAATTCACATTTGTTTTTTGCAATAATCCAAACAGGGCTCGCTTTCTTTGTCTGAGCTCTGTCCGAACATGTCTCACTGTTATCTTTTCTGTGCAGGGAGGTAAGATCCCAATCCGCTGGACAGCACCAGAGGCGATAGCCTTCAGAAAGTTCACATCAGCCTCAGATGTGTGGAGCTATGGCATTGTCATGTGGGAGGTCATGTCCTTTGGAGAGAGACCATACTGGGACATGAGCAACCAAGATGTAAGTTTAAGCAAAAAAAAGCCGTTCTTGACAATGATTTTGAAGGTTTTGTTCGGCACAGTATGAAGCAGAGCTTTTACAAAACAAAATGTAGCATTTGCATTCTGAAAAAAAAATAATAGTTTGAACTTTTCAGGTAATCAGTGAAGTGTAGCTTAATCATGCAATTTCCAACTACACAGTCCTTTTTAAGTTCAGGGTTTGCTAACTTTTTCCTCCTCTGTATTGTTTATTTTTTTCTTCCTGCTTGTACCCTTCAAGCAACTCAAAATTGATTAAAGTCAAGGCATTGGTTTGAATAGTGATTATTTTCCTTCCTATCAGGTAATCAATGCCATAGAGCAGGACTACCGGCTGCCCCCGCCCCCTGACTGCCCCACCCACCTGCACCAGCTCATGCTGGACTGCTGGCAGAAGGACCGCTCGGCGCGGCCTCGCTTCGCCGACCTCGTCAGCGCTCTGGACAAGCTGATCCGCAACCCTGCATCACTGAAAATAGTGGCTCAAGAAGGAGCAGGGTGAGAGTGCACATGTGTTTGTGTGATTGACAGAAAACCTGCCCCCAGTAAGGTCACAATGACAGTGAATATACAGCTTGAGAGTGAACAGAAAAAAGGAAGCATGTCTGTCCTTTCACAATGTCAACTTAGTGTCCATTTAGAGTGCTAACCGTCACAGGACAGACATTAGCCTCCTACTGCCGAATCTTATGTACCACCTTAATGTCCTGCTGTGACCTGTCAGCCACTTGCTGTGCCCATTTCCCTTCCTCCACATTCTGCCTGTCAGCTTTACGCATACAGCAGAGGACGCTCCACCCCTGACAAATTCCATTGTTTGTCCCTGTCAGTCACTCAGCCTCAGATTATACCTCTGCTTGTCGACTGGAATGTTGCTGCAGGATATATATAAGCTCCTCACTGTTGTTTTGATGACAGTGTGTGTAAGTTCTCCCTTTTGTTTCTGTTCTCCGTCCCCCAGGCCATCCTACCCCCTGCTGGACCAGCGTGCACCTTTAGCCCTCTCGTCGTGTGCTTCAGTGGGGGAATGGCTGAGGGCCATCAAGATGGAGCGCTACGAGGACAGCTTCCTGCAGGCTGGCTTCAACTCAGTGGACCAGCTGGCCCAGATCACCACACAGTCAGTTCCTTTCTCAAGATTTCTTATCTAAACTGATACTTATTTATGGAGGAACATTTTCTCTTCACACTTTCTGGCTACGTGTTCAGGGATCTAGGCTCGTAAGTTTTAGCAGTGACGGTTGCAAACTGGCTAAATTACTCCTTGAAAAGTTATAACCACTATTTCCTGAATTTAAATATGGAAGCCCAGAGAGCAAAAAATGTGATGATGTCCCGTCTAATGAGGTTTTTTTTTTTTTTTCGTTTGTGTTTTAGGGATCTGCTGCACATGGGAGTGACTTTGGCTGGGCATCAGAGGAAAATCCTCTCCAGCATCCAGACTATGACCTTTCGGAACAAGAACACTGCAACAGTGACCTTCTAGCTGACTTGCCTCCTAACCTGGACGTGAACACCAGCACGCAGGAGCAGCCGTGTACCGAGAGCACTCTGGATCCTCTCCTGTGACCCACTTTGGGAGAATTTATTAACGACCAAAAGAAAATTTGAAAAAAATAAATGAATAATAAAGATGACTTTCCCGTCGCAATGAGAGTCGGCCAGGGATGAGCGAGCCCCTGTCACCCGCAGTGACAAGGGCATGAAGCTGACTCATTTTTACAGTTTTGTGGTCGGTGTATTTATATCCACCCGAGGTTAGGACCCAAAAGATGTGCTAAACCAAGAGGAGACAGATCAGAGTTTACAAAGTTTCTGTAGTATCATGTCATTTTGAAAACTGGCAGTTGACTGGTTTGTTGTGCCAGTCACTTCACCAAAGGAGACAAAAAAGAAAAACCAGTGTTAGTCCAAGGATTTCAGTTTTCATACTGTTGTGTAATTATGAATGCGAACTGCTTTCACTTTGGGTGTCTTGCATTCAGTTCCTCTGGATTACTACACAGACACCTTCCACATCAAGACTGGCCATTTTAGCTGTTGTATTTTTCTTTTCTTTTTTTTCAATTTTTCCATCGACATTACCTCCTCTTTACTCAGGTGTGATGGGTAATGCAGACTTTGGAGAGCGCTGTACTCGACCTTATCAGACTTCTTTCATCTTCCCCCAGTCTGGCTCTCCCCTCACCAGCTCCACATGTGAGGAGAAGAGAGACACAGAGACATATCAGCACTTTTGTCATTTCAGAGTGAATTGTAATCTCCAGTAACTCCATGTGTTTCTCTTGGAGGGTGGTTGGTTATTTCTTCTGCCTGTGTTTCTGCTGGCAGCTCAGTTTTATTATTGTCAGACTGAACAAGGACCAAGTGGACTCAGAGACCAGAGAACACTGTAGAATTGGTTTTCTTTGTAGAAATTTACCAAGGAAGCTTTCTGCCCTCAAACTTGTTTTTCTTGATATAACTGATACATTTTTAATTATCTTATTCTGTATTCTCCATCTTCCAGTGCCATTCAATCGTCTTTGTGGACTTAAATGCCAATTTTGTAAAGCGGATATCTCTCATGAGTGATTCTTGTCTCATTTAAATGTACCTTAAAGTGTTACTTTTACATTTTGAAGTCAAGTGTATTATTTTCCTTCATCAGATGCTGGTTGTGTAGTTGGCAAATTGTTTCTGCTTTTGCCTCAAAGCTGCACAAAAATAGTTTAACAGTCTTAACATTTAGCATTGAAAACAATACCCATTTATCAGCTAAGCTCACAAGCTAGCTTGCAGCCAGCAGTATCAATTGGTTTCAGGTAAGAATGCTAATAATTGCTGTTTGATTAGCAGAGCGGCGCTTCCTCACGTTTTAAGTTTAGTATATTATTTTCCGTTATCAGATGCTGATTCTGTAGTCGGTAAAACGTTCAGCTTTTGCCCCAAAGCTACACAAAAATAGTTCTTAACATGAAGCATGGAAAACAATACACATCTACTAGCCAACAGGCTAGCTTGCAGCCAGCTTTATCCATTGTTTTCAGGGTAGAAAAGCTAATTACGGTTTGATTAGCCGAGCAGCCACCCCTCACGTTTTAAGTTTAGTATATTATCTTCCTTTGTCAAATGCTGAATGTGGGGTCAGCACAGTGTTTCTGCTTTTGCCTCAAAGCTTCTCAACATTTAGCATGAAAAACAATACACATATACTAGCCAATAGGCTTGTAGCCAGTAGTATCCCTTGGTTTCAGGGTGGAATGCTAATAATACTGCAGAGCTGCTGTTTGATTAGCGAGTACCCCCTTCATGTTATTACAAGCGCTTGTTGAGGAGAAATAATAAACTGGAGTTCAAAATGTCAAAGTATTGCTCAAAGTCTTTGCATCTCTTGAAGGATAATACCAGCTTTTTTGACATTGAGGTTGTGTATAATTTTCCCGGTTTAGCTCACAAACCTGCAGTGAATCAGGTAAATGAAGCCACTAAAACATACTCAATGCAAAACACATAGAAACACTTGCTAAATGGTTTTACCTTTGTACTGTAGTGCTTTATTTTTGCAACTGGTCATTTGGATTTTTCTCTGCATCACAAAAAAAATAACCTTTCCTAATAAGTGACACCAGTGGAGCCAATTTTTCCTAATAGCTCCTTGGACAATTAATATTGCATTTATCATGATTCCACAAAAAAATAAAATACATTTGTGTTGGGCCTAATCAAAAACACTGGTATTGTCATGCGAGAGTGAGAGATTCCTTTAAGGATTATGGGAAGTGCGGTCTTCATATTGAAGATTTCAATAAAAATCATCTTTGAAATAATGAATAGATAAAGTATGTTTTGATTACTGTCCTGTGTGTAGGCTAATCTGTATTCAGTATTCATAATAAAGATACACACCAGTGTTTACCACCAACGACTCATTTGTTTTATAGCTTATTAACATGCCTGATGGCCTCTGTAGATATTCAGTCTCACCAAAGTCATTCTCACTTAAAGTGGCGCTTGAAGACTGCGCTAATATACGTGGATGTTGTCCAATAGACGTCATAGGAAGATCCTATCTCACTGAAAGTGAAAATCCACATAATTTACCTGTCTCTGGTCCAATGACACGCTGTTCTGTCCCAGTGACCCTGATGACTTCTGTCCCAAATTCAGAGCAAATCAGCACACAACAAAGCCACTCCTTCTTTCCTAGAACACACCAACATTTCTGGATTTTGCTTGAACCTTTATTATCTAACTGAGTTGTATTTCAGCGCTCGTAGATGTGAAGTAAATAAATTGCTCCGGGTTCTCTTGTTTTTCTATCTTTGGTTAGATAATACCCCGCCTGAATCGTCTACAATAGTAGCAGAAATGTGAGAGTACAATGTGTAATGGGGTATGTTTTTCTTGTCTTCTTTGTGGCTCTTGTTGCAAACATTCCTCTCATCTATCCCGTCGCCCCCTTTTTAATAATGAGAGAGAAATCGGAGACTGTGAGGGTGAGAATTGAGTCTCACTCCCCCTACGTTTCCCAGCTTTGCTTTCTCCCAGCCTTTCCTCTTGCCTTCTGTTTCTCCAGAGAGCCTTTACCCTCGAGGGCTTGAAGCTTGTCCTCTCCTGTGTTTCCCTTCCTGGTCCTCAGCCCTTTTAATCATGAAGAGATGTTCTTTTCTTCTCCCGTGCCTCGGGCTGAGAGCAGCTTATAGCACAGCATAAGCTTAAACTCTCACACTCAATTTTTTTTTTTTTCTCTCCTCCTATCCAAAGCTACCATAACCAGGCGTAGCTGCCCGGGCTTCAAGAAGTGTTTAGGTTCATTGATTAATGTACTTTGATTATCTCTGTGTTACTGACTCATTCTTCTTGTTCTAGTGCTCTCGTGTGGCCCACAAAGTACAGACCTGCGCGAGTGGCGCTTCCATGTAGTGGAGATAAATAACGATGAGTAACTGTCCCTGTAAGCATGTTTTTTTTTTTTAATCCCACAGAGTGTTTTGGTGTGTATGAATCTCTGTGTCAGAGTGATTCAGTGTTTGAAAGAGAGAGTTGGGCATTAATCTCTGGTTTCTACTTCTGTCAGTAGTTTGCGTGACCTTTGACCTCACCATATAGTCCACATCTAGCCTCTGCTTTGTCTGTGTGCCTGAAAGGCCATTCATTAGGGCTGCTGTCGAGCAGAGAGCAGACCAGGCCGACCAGGTTTTAGTATTTGGTGGATTGTGTCATTCCCCTCGCATTCTTGTGTGCATTCAAGTGTGGAGAGTGTGTGTGTGTGGGTGGATGGTAGTGGTGGGTGGGGGTTAACCACTGGGACAGGTACATGTGTGTTTGCAAGCAAGGAGAGCAGAACAGACAATCTGAAATGGTTTCACCCTGGCTGCAGCAGTAAACAGCGCAGAAAATCAAAAGTGTGATCCTGCATCAAATGTGCAGCGTTAAAGGTCTGCTCAAGTGATTTCATGTTGCACTTCCATAAAGTTGGGGGAGTCCTGGGAGACATTTTTAAAGGATAGGCAAACTAAAAACAGGCTAAAAAGATCCAGAATTTTACCTTCTAGTGTGGGTCAAGCTCCCAAAGAACTGTATCCTACAGTTCCCATAATGCGACTCAGTTGTGTCTTTCATTAGACCCTCCCTGCCTCCTAAATGCCCACTTCTTTCAAACCCCACACCTCCTCAGTTTTAATGCAGGCTTTCTGTATAAAACTGCATAAGAGACGACATCAGGGTTAACTTTGGAAAGCTCCCTCCAGAAGACATTGCGCAACAGTTTTCACAGAGTAAAGGTGTCAGTATGCTTCAACAGAAGTGCTTGTCAGATGGTTGAACAGCAACCTGAACCCCCAGCTCAAGCACTTTTCTTCATTCTTTTCACGACTGTTTCTGTATAAAAACTGTGACTGGCTCTCGACCTGAATATGGGTGGCATTCTCCCCACATAATGATTATCGTATCTCTCTCCTCTTAATGACTGGTGGCTTTTCACCCTACGTTCGACTGGAACTGTTTGGAACAGCTGCAAACACTTGGTGGGTGGACGACACGTACAAACTAGTTCGTTTTGAGCATACTCTGGCCTTGAATAGTATTCCTTGTGTAAAGTAAATTGAACTTAATGTGTACAATTGGTGGAAGTCCCCTTTAACACATCAAACTAGACCTGTTTTTTGGAAACCACTGACTCCTTTCAGTCTTCTTTTTGGATCTGCAGACCTCCAGATTTTCCTCAATAGCAGAAGCTTGAGGATAGAAAGTTAGATTTGAGATTCTTGTGCCACTCTCCCTCCGCTTCAAGTGCCAGATTTCCTCCCTGGGATGACTTGCAGACAATTTGATCGAAATGGCCCAATATTTTTGAGCAAATCCACCGAGCAGGCAGCTAAGATTATTTTTCACCTGTGTACGCAGCATGATTGCGGTGAAAGATGGGTGGCACATTGCTCGGCAGAGCACTTCCACTCTGTTTCGTATTAGATCTGATCACTGGGAAAGTTGTCGCTCCCCGCTGTTCAACAGTATATCTGTTGACTTTGCAGGAGCTTGTGCCAGGCCATTGCTGTAAATAAGAGTTTGTTCTTAGTTGACCCACCTGGTCAAATAAAGGTTGTAAAAATTTAATTATACTTTCATGCTGTGGTACAGTTTGACGTGGAATTAGCCATGTACTTTTCATCATGCACTTAATCCACTTAATCAGTGTAAACCTTCAGATTTCAGGCCCCTGCTGTCTTCTTTGTTTTATTATTGTTATTATTTATTGTAGCTGAGTATTCAAATATTGTTTTATTATGTACTTCCAGCCTGTCACTGTCAGAGTTAATTTACTTTAGTGTTATCTCAATTTACTTAAATTTTCTGGATTACTAATTTATAATGTATTTGGCCCCAGCTACAGCTATAAATCCATATCCAGTGTGCTCCTTTGTGCATCTGTTTGCTCATAAAAATTGATTATTCATAAAGCCAAATAGTTTTCCAATACATATTAAAACTCCAAAATAGCCACAATAACTGGTTCTCCTTCACCACACACACACACACACACACACACACACACACAGAACAGATCATGTGTTCAGTGGAGGTGTTAGTGGGGTGAGGAATGCGAATATGAACGTTAACACCTTCAGGACGAGCGACTGGCCCCTCCGAAGGTGTTCGCAGGTTCTTGCTCTGTCTCAGCTTTCAGTACACACACAGCAGCCATCCGTCTCCCCTGTGGCGTCCTTTTGTTTTCAACTCTGCTAAGATGTGCTCGTTGCCTTCTGTGAGGAAATGAAAGGAGTGTGACCTTCCCTGCTTCTTATCCTCTCTGTGTGAATCACCCCATATTCTGAAACTCAATCCACATGCGTCAAGGACCGCTATGCTAGGGGCGGATTAAAAAGTAGGGGGAAACTATCAAATTGCTCTAAAGAAGTCAGAAGATGAAGTGTGGAGGTTTTGCGTGACAAAAAGGAGAGTGAGTGTGGAGTCCGAGGTGGAGGAAGGCTGATGGAAAACATGTCATGTTAAAGATGTTTCTGATCAGTGTGATTGATTTCCTTTTTGAACTCGGCTTATTGAACTCAGATTGATGAGTTTACTCTTTGGCGTGGTGCTTAACCTCTCACACAGCCCTCACCTTCATGTGAGATAACTTTTATTATGAATTGGTGCTATACAAATAGAACTGACTTGAATGTGCTCACTCAACCCAACTCCTCCACACCTCTGAACCCCAAAGCTATAAATCCTTACCCTCATCTGAAAAATGTGCATCCCACTAAAGTCAGCTCGTCGCTCAGCCCTTTCCTTACCACCGGGAATTTTTTAGGTTTTGAGTTAATCAGACAAAGTTTACTGTACTTTCAGTGTTTGGAGAAACTACCAAAAAACACCAGTTTAAAACATCTAAGAGTTGCTTTTTGTGCTGCTGTAAAAACCCTCTGCTTTGTCTGTTTGTTCTGTTTTTCATGATTACAGTGAAGTCTGCTCTTTATATTTGTATTGTGGTCATAGCTGTTTACCTTAACTTGATGTCGCCCCTTCTTTTTCTACATTATAATTCTAGCTTGGCAACCAATAGCCTAAACGAACTATTTCCATAGATGTTTACAAAGCAAATGAGCAGTAAACACTGAATATTCACATAAGCAATCATACACGTGAGTTACTGCACTGAGAACTGAGATTTGCTCTTAACTTATTTCAGTCACTTGAATGCATCTCCTCACACAGCAGGACTACAGATTAAAGCACCCCTTCTGTTCCCCTGTGGCAGCCCCCCTCCCCTCATGCCTACACCCACTGTTCCACCCTGCTTTGGGATAAATGACATCCTTCACATCTGTTGATTATACTGTAAAAACATGGCCACTCACGTTTATGACTGACCCCGTGAACAAACCATGTTTTCTGGGCTGACATTGTGACGATCTGCATGGCCGTCAGGACTCTCTCTCTCTCTCTCTCTCTCTCTCTCTCTCTGTGTATGTGTGTGTGTGTGTGTGTGAGAGAGAGAGAGAGAGAGAGAGTCTGTGGGTGTATTCCTGAGTCCTTGCACCTTTGTTCACTATGTGCAGAACCCACTTAGAAATTTGAGGAAGGAGGCATATGGTTATGATTTAACCAGCATCTGGAGACAACTAGGTTTACAAAAAAGTGTGTTTGTGTGTGTGTGTGTGTGTGCAGTATTGAATGTAACCAGATTACAGAAATATAGTAACTGTACCAGGGCTTACTCTCTAATTTAACACAGCTCATATGCAACAGCAGTGACCACCACCCCTCTACAAATACATAGCCTACCCAGAATAGAAGAAGGCCCTGTGATCATTTACTGTGTTATGAGCTCCCTCTAGTGTGCACAAAGCATACACTCGGTTTTCATCCTAATAATGAGAGAAATTAATCTTCTTCACGTTTATATGGATTCATGCAGAA